CTGAACAGTAAGTAGGTTTCTATTTTTCAAAATGAACATAAGAAAGAATTTTATGTTTAAGTAGAAACATGTTATAGAGTCTACCATCAAATGCATCCCATAATGCTTTCAGCTACTAGGCTGGCTGTACCACGAGCAGCAGACAACTGGCCATCCTTAGTGGTCAAAACTGTGCGTCAGCTCCTGAGAGCTTTACATGCAGCCAGCTAAAAAGGGAAGCTGGCAAGGGTCATGCAATCATAGCTGTTTTTCCATTAAAAATGGTTATGTACGTATAGCTTGATTCATTATGCACAGAAACACTTTAAACACTCAAAAGAGCAGCTGAGGGAAACTGATGCTAAATAATGACAGGTTTCAGAGGAACAGCCGTGTTAGTCTGTATTCGCAAAAAGAAAAGGAGTACTTGTGGCACCTTAGAGACTAACCAATTTATTTGAGCATGAGCTTTCGTGAGCTACAGCTCACTTCATCAGATGTTTACCGTGGAAACTGCAGCAGACTTTAAAGTCTAAACTCTAAAGTCTGCTGCAGTTTCCACGGTAAACATCTGATGAAGTGAGCTGTAGCTCACGAAAGCTCATGCTCAAATAAATTGGTTAGTCTCTAAGGTGCCACAAGTACTCCTTTTCTTGATGCTAAATAGTATACTGGACAGATTCCCTCGGCATCCATTCTCTGTGTAGAGCACCGCCACTTGACTTTTGCAGCTACCCCTGCAAAGAAAGAGAAAAATGGACGCTTCCCCCACATGGAAAGGGGAAATGCTCCAAAAAGGATGTTTTGTGGGAGGGGAGAGGTAGCTGGAGTTCAAGAAAGGTTGAAGCAAAAGAGAAAGACAGAACACAGGGAATAAAGAAATGAGGAAAGAGAGCAAAACAGAAGAGAGAGAGAGAGAGGAAATAAATCTATCTGGTTGCTTATACTGGTGGGTTTCACCATAGTATTTGACAGAGAAAGGATGAAATACAGACAAACACAGATGAAGAAGACAGACCAAAAAAAAAAAGGAGAAAACAGAGGACAAAGAGTGGAGGTCTCAAGACAAGATATCGGACTGTGCATTTGGGCAGCCCATCAGCCTGCCATATCATAAGACATTATGGTCACCTGTGCTTACTAGTTGTTCAAGACCTCCTGGGATGCAGCAAAAAACCTAAATTTATAAGCCAATTTTGTAGGCAGTTTCCCACCACTACCACTCTCTATCCCTTAAAGCACCTGGCACTTGGCCAATATTTACCCTTATCTTTACCAAAAATCCTGGAGTCTTCCTCACAGTTCTATTTTCCTGCAACTCCTCTGCTCTAGTGATGACCAGATCAGAAATAGCAGAGACTGGCCAACTGCACTAATTTATTTTGTGGTTTTGTCACATGAAAGATCAATGCTAAGCGAAACCAGGATTCAGTGCATTTCCACTTGAGACAAGGAAGAAATTAACTAGTTTCCATAAATGCAAGATTACCAAACCCTCACCCCCTTTAAAGCAAAACACAACCACAGGCAAATTCACATTGTCAAGGTAGAACATGAGGACTCTGTATCAACTTGAATCCTACAAGTTCTCTAGTATCTGGGACCATTTACCCTATTGATTAGTGACACAGAGGACTATCATGTTAATGATTTGCATATAATAGCCTGTATTTACAGTGGATATTGACACAACACTCAAGAAAAAAAAGTCAATGCTGCTTAATGAACTGGCTAATAAGAGATGCCCAACGAGAGGCACCATGAACAGTATCCTCTCTTACAGGCTTCAGAAACCTCTGTATGGAATCAGTTCTGCCCTAAACACAGACCGCTTGCCAGTGGCAGCAAACTGTTTAGTGACTGAAGGGCTGGGGGAGAGAATTTCTAGCTGGTTTAGGGTGGCAAAACATATAAAAGCCAGCAGTGACTCCAAAAAACTCTCTCCAACAAATGGTTCGCATAGGACTTCCATCCCAACCCATCATCACTTCTAGTTGGCAGGGTTTCACATTCCTGGCGTATCACACAGGGATATTTGTTGCAAGACTCCTTTAATAATTCATCTTCATTCTGCTCTTGTCCTTCACAAAACACTATCAATTATTTAATTTCAGGTACACAAGCTTTCTCCTGCAAGTGAATCAGTCAGGTGGCTGAATGTGTGTGTTGGGTCATGATTCTTCACATGTACTTAGGGGCTAAATTCAAAGGGTCAGATCCTCAGCCAGGGAAAAATCAGCATCGCATCATTGACTTCAGTGGAGCTAACTCAATTTATCCCAGTTGACGATAATCTGGATCAGCGTAGGGTACAAATTAAAGTGACCTGTAATTTTGTTAATGTGGACAAAATATATTTGTATTGAATTCTCCAAGCAGGAAAGGATTAAAGGGGCATCCCATACAAAAATTATTTTAAAATGTATCCTCCTCCCCAAAAGGCCAGATATGCGAGTTGTGGCTCTATCGTAATATCTCTGAGTGTAAACTAGGGAGCCTGGACATTTTGGGCAACCTGGGGGCAAATGGAGCAGAAAGGTACATTTCAAAATAATGTATTTGTTGAATGCACCTTTAGTTCTTTCCATCTGTAGCATGAAACAAATGGAAAAATACATTAATTAATGTTATCCATGAATTAAAATCACATATACATTAATTAAAAATTAATTAATTGTAGGCTCTTTGCAGCACAGATTGTATCTTACTAAGTGTTTACCTCATCGGGATTCCTGATTCTGACTGGGGTCTCTAGGCACTATTACACCAGAAACATATATAATACCAAAACAATAAAACACTCTAGTAATCCAGGCAGAATATTTTGGGGCAATTATAGCTGGCCATAAATGGGATTATAGGGCACAAGATCAAAGGCAAAGACTGGTCACCTGACCTGACAATACTTCCCCCGCCCCGCTTATGGTCACATACCCTGGAGTCCCTTTTTGCTATTAAGAAATGGAATTTGCAAATAAATAGAAACAACATAGTTGTGGACTATACAATTAATGAGCACTGATATGATTACCATGTTGCTGACAGCCAAACATAAACCTCCGTTGGTGTCCTATTTTCTGGAGCGATTTCATAATTATGAAATATTGCTTGCACACAAGCTGCCGAAAGGATTTAGGTGGCATATGATCTGACGTAGGGACTGTCTGCTGGAAGAGTCTGGCTGGCCCTTGCTGGCCTAAGTACTACCAAAAAGTCTTACCTGTGTCTCAAGCCTTTGGGTACTATTTCAAAAACAGCCTAACTCCCATTGACTTCGGATAGCACTCAGGTCGCTAGGTTGCAGAGTCTCTTTTGAAAATTTTATCCTTTGTTTAAACAGCATAAATTGCTAATTATTTTTCCTCTTATTTTAAAACCCAGAGAATATTTTGCAATTAAAAGCAAGAATCACAACATACTGCTTCTAAAAGCAGCTGCTTTTTATAGCAGACTTTTTAAAAAAGTCATTCTGCCTTAGAAGATTGCAATTAAAAGGTACTGCAGAAGTCGTCATCTGTTCAGGTTTTGGGTTTTTTTGTTTGGTTTTTTTTTTTGATGGGGGGGACCCACACTTCAAACAACTGTATTCAGGAAAAAACTCCTTTAAAAAGTAAACCACTGCCTGGCTCTCTAATTATTCAGATTTTCAGCTTTGGAGTTTCATGTGCCTGAAAATAAACACTACCACATTACCTAATCTGCATTATTCTTAAAACCAGTGATGCAGCATGTAAAAACATCAGAAAAAACTATGGGTAGGCAGTATCAGTATCCTACTAAGGAGGAAAAGCCATGAAACAAGCTTCTAGATGCTATTAGAGACTGAGACATTTAGAAAATGACACGTTTAAGTATTTAAGAGAGGACGTTGAGATGCACCTTGCTATACTGACTAACTGCCATTCAAAGGATGTCAGACTCTGGCCCTAGTTCAGAGTGTGGTTCAGCCTTAAAGGGTGCTGCTTGGCTTGCAGAGGAGTTCCATGGGGAGTGCACTGACCACCTCACTTAGTGCTGGATATAAAATTGTTCCATCATCCATCACCCCAGCTTTCTCCATGTATCATTAGGCTTGGAGGGATTAGATTTTTAATTGTTAAATGTCTGTAAAGGTTGATTTCACCATACACAGACACAAACCAATGAAAAAATATTTCAGTTGGTAATGATCAAAATTTACAGACAGGCTAAGAAAGAAAAATGCTGCTTGAGAACTTATTAGTCTTTGATTTAAGGATATTTTGTATATTATGACATGTAACGCTGACAATTTGTGTTTTAATAGTTATAAAGCTTTAACTATTTGAATCTCAACATCTACTGGTCGTTACATAATTATTGTCTGACTCCCATCCCCATAATTTCCCCAAACTGTGAAAATTTAAGTAGATAATTTTTTTAATGCTTACAAATAAAACTGATACTATTTTTTTGAAATTATAAAAAATAAAAATAGAATTCTGCCAAGCCTATATATAATCAAATTCTTGGGCACAAGGCAGGGCAAAAATTAGCAGTTAATATTTAGATTGTTTCTATATGGCAGCTCTGCTCCAAACTATGCACCAGTGCTCACTACCAGGTTTTAGAGGTAAAAGGATCTGTGCCTCCCCTCTCAAACCAACATCATATCCCCATCCTCTTCCTCTGGAAGAGAAAGGGGAGGATAAGAAACACAAGGAAGCACTCCATCCCACCAGATAAGATGGGGGGGGGGGACAAAGCCCTCTCTCTAATGACTCGTCTTCTCTAAAAATACCTATTCTTCTCAGCTGTCAAGTGACATCAGTCCTTTCTTCTTCTCAAGCAGCAGAAATGTACTCATTTACTCCTCCCCGTCCCTTTCCCCCGCCCCTGTTTTTTCTCACTCAACAATTATAATCGTGGGTGTTTTTTTATAAATAGTTATAAAAGTGAAAGAAAGTAAAGTGATTCTTGTCATTAAAAATATACAAAGATATAAAACAACCTGTTGAGAAAAAAAGAAAAAAAAATCAGAACCACTTGTGGTTGTATAGTACCTAAGAATAGCCCACATCGCTTTGTTTGAGACAGAAAGGCTGCTGCTCCGTTGCTCTTCAGGTGATGCAGGGTGGCAAGAGTTCCAGGTCCCTTTGTGAGCAAACCGGTGCTTCCCATTCTCCCTGCTGGATGGAGGAATCTGCAGCGGAGCAGATGGAGAAGACGCAGGCTGCCGTGCGAACCTCTGATGCACCCCTCCATTTCTCCTAATTACTCATTGAATTGAGAAGCACAAAAGGGGGGGGGTAGGAAGGGGGAAAGAGGCCTTTTAAGAGATGGTTCTTTTGTTTCATGTTTACTTCATTAAAAGAGGGAGTATTGGAAAGTTATCCCAAACTACTATCTTAATACAATACATGACATTTCCTTGAGGTCTATATGCAAAGATCTGGCATTTACTTCACCGCTACTGGGCATGATGGAGGGCAGGATAACTGGATTCTCAGCTATTGTACAAACTTCTACAAACTACAATATTAAAAAAATGTAAAAGAACCTTGCAGTATATTATCAGTCTAACCTTTCTTAAAGACCTCAGAGGGCTTACAGCGGTGAGTGTGATGGGGAGTGAGGAGGGAGAAATTGCACAGTATATTTCATTAGACAATTATCCTTTGTGGCAGCTCACTTGCTAAAAAAAAGAAAGCAGGCCTGGTTCAAACAAACGGGGGGTGCGGGAAGGAGTCTCTGCAACATTTCGCTACAGGTTCTCTCCTACCCCTTAAAATCAAGGAAACACACAGACAAAATTCTGGGCACCATAAAGTGCTACACTAGTGCACAATAAATTAGAATGAATATTAAAATGCATCACATCTGGGCCACAGAGCCTCTCATTCTTGTAAGGTCTCTGGCCCTGGCATGACCATTATTTAATGTCACAGAAGCAAGGAAACAGAATGTTCAGAGACCACTGGAACATGACCCCAAGGAAAAGGAGGGATATAAAATAAGTTCATGGGTTTTCCCCTGAATAATTAAAGATTTCTGCCATTCTTAGCCACAGAGTTCCTGCAACTCCACACAATCCACTGTAAATGTACGCACTACAAGCATTCTGTCTGCCAACCCCAAAGAAGTCCATAACTTGCCACTTGCAGACCATTTGTGAAGTTATGTAATAGAATCAAGACAGAAGAAATACTCTAGTGATGTATCATAGCTTACCACTGATTAGTACTACTTGTGTGTGGGGGGGGTGAGGGATCTTGTCATAGGGCCATACCTAAGTCCAGTTAAAGTCAATGGAAAGAGATAAAACATGAGAGAGGGGACAAGGATGTAGAAAGTTTAAAAACACTGAATGTTTGGGGGAGAGATGGACGCAACAGGCTCTACATCAAAAAGAGAAGAACTTAACACTATAAATAAGGAGCCATACAGTTACTGGCAGAACTAAGACTGTGATAAGTCACCTTGAATGGATTTGAATTTTCTTAACTAAGTGTTGATAACTGCTTAATCCTCCAGCTGTGGAATTCTTGAGCCACCCAAAAACAGATGAAAAAAATATTTCCATATTTAACAAATTGAGATTTACAGAGGGGGGGAAAAAAGAAAACATTTAAAGATATTGCTTGAGGGCTCATAAGAGTTCCGATTTAAGCATCATTCATGTTACAAAAAAGTATTAAGAAATTAATGAACAAATCTGATTTTATTACTAAATCTGATATCAAACTTAACTTCACGTTATCACATTTTGAACAAAAAGTTACAGGGTTTTAATTTGTTGCTACTGCAGAAATTAAGCCAATAAACTTTAAAAACTTTTGATACTACCAGTCAAAATTCACACAAAAATAAAAATCAAACCCTTTCAAAGTTAGCTATAACTGAGTTGTGTGTTTCTGTAGATCATTTCTTCACCCTTTGCTAGCTACCCATCCAGCAACAGTACTGTACCAAGCAAAACATAAAATAAAATATAGGATGAAATCCTAGCTCTGCTGGAGTCAACAGGAGTTTCCCATTAACTTCAATGGGGACAGAATTTCATCTATCATACTGTATATAATCATATATTTATATATATTATGCACATAAAAGGTGTCAAGGTTTGAAGAATATATTAAGTTACTTACAGTCTAAGTCTATTGTAGGACAGGAAAAGCAAGTCATAAACCAAGCACACACCAAACACAGTGACTCCAGTTTCTTTCACCAGCATTGCACAGGTCCCAAGAAATAAACTAAGCAGCAAGAAGAATGGAGAGGCAGTGGGAGGGAAATGTTCCCCAACATAAAAATGATCCACACTCCTGCAAAACAGATTTGATATAGATATTTTAATTTGTTATTTTCATATTTATTAATTAGTTCATTAAACATTTTCCAAGTGCATTTCCATAATTTTTAAAACACTAAAATATTCTCAATAACCATGAACCCAATGCTGCGAACACATACTTGCGTCAGCACTCCCATTAATTTCAGTTAAATTATTGAGAGTAAGGGTCTGCAGCAACTGGCTACATATATTTATTAATATCACTGCAAGTTGAGTGCATGACTGAAAGAAGGGTCCAAAAGCACTTTTACATACAGAGTGAGTGACTTAAACAGCATGGGTTGACAGGACTTGCTTTGTCAATTTTAAATAAAATACAATAGTTAGGATTTTATATGGATTCTCCCCCCACAAAAAAAAGCCTCACGTCTCACAACATCTCATAACATTTAATATTAAAGATCCATACCTATTATAGGAGAGAAAAGCCAACAGAAACAGTAGACAGGCTAAGACATCTGCTCTGCCTACAATACCTGTTACCTAAGAGGAGAAAAAAAAAAAGACAGGAAAATTGTACTTTAAAAAAAACTTTAGAGACTGTTTCAATGAGCCATACCAATTGCCTTTGCTTTATGGGTTTTTTCCCCCTCCTTTCTTTCTGTCTCTCTCTTCTTTCCTACATCCTGGCACCCTAATCAGTAGGAATTTTGGTATTTTTTTTTATTATATAGAGTAATTAAGCTATTTTGTGTAACAACAACAATATACAGACAGACTAAAACTAAGTTAAATTCTTTTAAAAAGCATTTATAGAAACGATTCAGATAATAAGAACATAATTGTGGTTGGGATTATTATGAAATAATTAAAATGCGGATCAAAAAGAGAAATGTATGCCTGATTCACTAAACTGTGACGTTTAATCATATTCTTTAATACTGTGAGAACTGATTTTAGATCAAAATCCTCCCCAAAGACTAAAATACTCACTCCTACATAATAAGAAAGCTTATTACTCAAATGTTAGTTAATAATCAGTTCAGACAGACAATAAATTGCAACTAACTTGGTACGTATGAGAGTTTTTTAAACTCTAATTGGCAAGTTTCTTTATAATTATTCAAATTACAAAATATTTCAGCATTCCACTTCATAAAGATTCAGAAACTGCACATAAAGGAAATTAAAAGGTCCTTTGAAGCTTTTGCTGTTTTAAGGTCACTTAATTATGTAATCTTCAATGCTTTGGCATTTGCTTTAAACTCCCCAAATTCTGATCTAGACAAGAGTAAATTCAAAGCTGGCCTCATCTAAAACCTCGCTTATATTATAAAGCAGCATTATCTAAAGGAGCCTGGCTGATTAGCTCACAGAGACAACACAAGAGGTAACTGTAAAGCTCATGGCTCTTTTGTTATTAAGGCACTCTTTCCTCAAAAGTTCTCAGCACTGGCAGTCATTTCACTCTCGCTAGTTTACAATAGTTCATAATAACAAAATACGATCCTGACAATATCTTAACTAGACATACACTTGTCTACCTGGAAACAGAAGAAACTGCATCCCCATTTGAAAGAAAAGACCCAACCATTTTATCTACATGGAAATTAAAATAGCGGTCATTTTAAAACAAGTTATCTGTATATTTTGATATCTTGCATTTTTCTGTGATTAGTAGAAAAGCAACATAAGCTTATATACTGCAACTTTGCCATGAAGTTTACTCAAAGAAGCTGTTTTCCTAAGATTAAAAAAAAAATCCATAGTTTCTAATTAACAGTTGTGTGAGAAAATTCATGGGTCAATATAGACCTACGACCTGTATCAGCATTTTCCTATTATCTTGTTCAGAACACACACCAAGTTACATTATGAATTACAGGGGCCCTTTTCTGTTTAGAAATTGAAGACTCTGGAAAAAAGATTTAAGGAACAAACAAGGTCTCAGCAGGACAGATGCCTCACAAAGTTTTCTGGTTTTGAGAGATGGTGGGGATCCATATTTTCTCACAACTGCAACATTGTGTATTTATTTTTAGCATTGCTGGTTAGGATGGTTAATTGGAATTGCAGCTAGTATTAAGTGGAAAGACAGCAAGTATGAAGTTTATTCTTAATGTATGTTATTGATTATTTTGAATGCAACAGGTTTGGGGGTTTGTTTGTTTTGGGGGGAAAAAAGGGGTTGGGGTTTTTTGGGGGTTTGTTTGGGTTTTTTTTGTTTTTTTTACTGTTTACTCTACAAAGCAAGTACCACACTGAGTCACAGTAAACGGTATGTTTTGTATTAAAGGTTTGGTTTTTTTAGAAAGTTATAAACATGTATTTCTTTTAGGTACTATCTCAGTTTTACATATATACTTACAGCCTCACTGTGAATAGGATGCACAGCAAAGAAGAGAGCCGTGACAAAAGCCAGTCGACTGTCCTTGAATACAGCTTTGTCACAAGTATACATCAGGACAAGAGTCACTAGACAGTGTAAAGTTACATTTACTGCATGGAAATAGAATGGGTTCATACCAGCCAACAATATGTTTAGCCTGTAAGAAAACAAAACAGAACCATAATAAATATAATTAGGCCATAGAATCCTTGCAATGGCACAACATCATTCACACACATTAAAACCAGACGAAATACGTAATTTAGAGTACAGGCTGTTAAATTAATTAGGATAAAATTGCTCAGAACATCTGGTTAATCTCGATAAAAAGAAACCACTGCCTGCTGCAGCCTCCTCCCCCCACTGCCTTTTAAAACGTGTGGTTGAATTTGGCTAGTTTCGCTGCAAATGATGTAAGAGGCTAACAACACAGACTTGAGCTAAGCATCTCATAGATAGGTGCTTTACATACTTACCCCAGGATAAATCATGCACTTCAACATGAAAGCTGTAACATTTGTGCCCTTTCAACACTGGCACTTTCCACAGAAATCTAAGCTATGTGGTAGTTTTATGATATGGATCCATTAAGATTGATTTTTTTGAAAAACTGATTGATATCTTCACATGTGACCAATTAAAGCCATGATTCAGCAGTTTCCTGTTTCACTTTAGATCATGTGAGTAATATCACTGAAGTCAAACAGGAATACCAGTGTTTAACTTTAAGCCTGAGTTTATGAGCTTTGCTGAATCAGGGTCTACACCAGGAATCCAGATGCAACAGGAACCCCTCTACCATCAGAAATTGTTTTTGCAGAATGTTCAGTGACAGGACACATTAGTTGCTATGCCATCAGGTTCTCTCCTGATGAGAGAGCAGCACTACTCATTATCTGTGGCTGCCACAAAAGGAAAGAGTGACTAACTGCTAAGAATTTATTTTCACAAGATATTCATAAACTTGTCTCCTCACTGCACTTACCGCCAACTTATTTAACAGTTGTTAACAGGGTTGTTTTACATACAGTTGAAAATAGAATCAAAATGATTAATTCTAATTAAATTTGTCCATTTGGTTATGTCTTCTAGATCAGTGTTTCAACGACTGGTTCATGGACCGGCGCCTGTCCCTGAGATCTCCCTGACACAGTTTAGGAAGACAGCAAGCCAGTCCCTGGTATCCAAAAGGTTAAGAAACACTGACCTAGACATCACATACAAACAAGAAAGAGTTGGAATTAAAAAAACAACAAAAGAAATGACACCCAATAAAATCAGTTCAAATATTTTGCATGTAGACTAAACCACACATTAAGGGGCAACAATCCCTATATTTGCTTTTACTAAGGGTCAGACTGCAGTTCCCCATGGTTTACATGGCTTGAGAGCAATGCACTTGACTTGTTATTACTATGTAAACACCTTGGTTTTTCTAAATCAGCTGAGAATTGGCATGTTTGTAAAGCCCAGACAACATATGTTTTTTATAAATACTTTCTATATGCACAGCTTACAACTGACAGAACTTGATCTACCCTAGGCTGCATTTTGACCAGTCAATCTAACTTTAAGAGGGAAGGAGTCTTACTTGTGTATTCCATTTTTGTTCCCTCGGGAACACTTTGGAGGTAATCACTGAGCTAAAGGAGTTTGGGAAAAATACAACTTTGGCATAACCTAACCCTGGACTTTGAAGTAATGCTTTATGCAGCTATATTTTGACAGGACTTCAATTCACGTGAATGATCTAGAACTCTTGAATAAAGCCTTTCCCTCCCCCCCCCCCCGTGAGATATGTCAGCCCTGAGCTTCGCCTGTGGTACAAGCTGCCCTCCCACCCCCAGTCCCACCATCACAAAATGAGAAAAAAAGTAAACAATACATTCAAACCAAATTTCAGTCTAAAATATACAGCAGCAGCATGCTCCCGCAGGGCTAAATGGTACTCGTCATGCACAGAGCAGAGCAAGGGGGCAGTCCTGCCCTGCCCCAAGAGAGCATTCTATTGTAGAGTGGCAGTCTTCTTGAAATCCCCAAGCCTGCTTTGCGTGCCTTCATGGGGAGGTATTTGTCTCCCACCGCCATCTGTCATTCCCACTCAATGAGACAGTGCTGGTGATGGGAGCCATGTGCCCCCAAGGGAGTAGGTAATGTAGTCTTTGCACTCTCTTCAGTGAAGGTACACCAGCACCTGACCGTTAGGCAGAGCACACACTGGGGAGGGAATGCTCCTTGTATCCATTCCACTGAATGCCCAGCAAAGGGCCAAGCATTAACTGGCCTACAATAGGAGAGATTTACCTCATGTTGTTTCCTTAGAGTAGCTGCTACGTATGAAAAAGCAGTAACCTAATAATTTTCAGAGTAGCAGCCGTGTTAGTCTGTATTTGCAAAAAGAAAAGGAGTACTTGTGGCACCTTAGCGACTAACCAATTTATTTGAGCATAAGCTTTCGTGAGCTACAGCTCACTTCATTGGATGCATTCAATGAAGTGAGCTGTAGCTCACGAAAGCTTATGCTCAAATAAATTGGTTAGTCTCTAAGGTGCCACAAGTACTCCTTTTCTTTTAACCTAATAGTCTGGCTTTTCCTTTTTAAAAAACAAAACACTACAAGGATAGGCCTTCCATTAAACTGTAAAATCCGAGTAGGAGTATGGGGGTGTGTGCGCGTGCGCACGTGCATTATCATCTATAATTTGCCATCTTTGGTGGTCCATGAACATTGAATGTGAAAATGTGCAGGTACTGTTTCATTCCTGCTAAGGTTATTATTTGTCATAACAAATTAGGCCAAATGGTGAAGGAAACATTCTTTTGTCCTGAAACAATCTCACAAGAAAGCTTTTGAAATGCTGATAGTGGTTGTGATTGTTATACACACTATGTGTGCACAAATATAGCACTTCAATCCGCTAAAAATCCATCCATGGTCTTCCAAGCCATGCAAGCTTCACAAGGCTACACAGTAGGGTCACCTACTGGCCACGGGTAAGGGCAACCTCCTACGTAAAGCCAAAAAACTCCACAGCAGAGTGCTGCAGAGTAGGAATGGGGAAATTAACAAAAGTGCCTCCCCTCACAACCCACCAGACCCTAGCCTCTGTCCAGTCCTCTCTTCACTTTTGGCATTAGGCATTACTATACTATTAAGTATCCACTGTGCATAGCTCAACAAGTGGGAGAGAAAAGTGAGGGAGGGTTAAAACAAAAGACAGATCCTTGGAGTCCTCTGAAATTAACTTCCAGTTGAAATTAGGGGCTCTCCACCCCCAGCTTAATGGAAAGAAGCACCTGGAAACCCCCAATCAACAGTAGCATACAGGTGTCTGAGGGTTTCTCTCTGACTTAGCCAATTGTAGACTGGCCTTCAACTGAGAAACCTTTGATTTCATGTCATACTTCCATAGATTTTTTTTAAGCTAGGAAAGAACATTAGGGTCTAAGAGTCTGACCATCCTGCACATCACAAGCCAGAGAACCTGACTCAGCAGAATTCCTACATCAAGACTATAACTTCTATGGTTGAGCTAAAGCATATATTTTAGAAAGATAGCTCCCCAACCCTGGCTTCTCCTTGGCTGAGCTCTGTAAGGGGACTCCAATAAGGAAGCGGTGTCTTCGGGCCAACCAGATCCTCTCCATTTTTCCTCATCAGCCAAGGAACGTGTCCCCTAATGGCATTCCAATGATGATAAACTGCATGGAGTAAGTGACCCCCACCCCCAGGGAAGGGAACAGGCATTATACAACCACCACCAAAGGAAAATAGCCCTTTTCAGATTAGGCTATTTAGCTGTATAGAACCTATAGGTAAATTTAAGATGATAAAAAACAAGGGTCCCCCAGGCTGCTGCCACATGCAGAAGGGAGCACATCTGGAGAGAGGATACACAGAAAGAGTACCACAACCATGGTATCATCCCTCCCACCCTGCAGAAGACCCTGTATAGGATCTCTGTGATCACCTGTTCCTGGGGCTCTGGAGTAGAGCAGCTCATCTGCCAAAGCTCTGACTAATTCTTCTCCCCTCTTGAAGAAATACATAGGAGAACTCACTGGAAGTTACTGACAATATACGGCTTGATCCTTCACCACTGAAGTCAATGGGTGCTTTGCCAGTCTACTAAATGGAAGCAGAATCACAGCTAAAGACTGCAATAGTTTACATGGCTACCCATTCTGCAATTCGAAGGAGGTTCAAAGGTGACTGTCAGGTGGGGGATTATGCCATCCAGGTACTGGTGAACAGCAGTTGAAGAACAAAGGGCCTCCAGGAGATTGGGGGTGGGGGGTCAATCCACAAGTATGAGGAGGTGTAACTGCTAGAATCTTCTATGGGGGAAATGGCCACCCACCCCATCCCTAATGGGAGAACTCACTGGAAAATTCATGAGTAGGAACTCTCCAGTGTGGGTATTCCCTCACCAAGGAGACCTGAGCTCCAAGATAATTCCATGCTGAAGCAGAGACTCTGGCCTCAACTCATCCCTTTGTGTCTAAGTATTGCATCATATATAGTTCATAGCGTCACACACTGCTCAGAAACCATGGCCAAACCCATGTACAGAAGGAAAAGAAAAAAGCATTTAATTTTGAAATTCCTTGATTTGTTAGTGTAATAAGATCTGTTCAAGAACATCATTAGAGAGGGTGTATCCCTTTGGTTTGGGGACAGTTTCAAAAGGATCCCTTATCATGTAAGTGAGCCTTGTAAGTTACAGCTCACCATGTTACTGTATGGTGTAGGATGGACCTTTGTCCTTATGGCCCTGTCGAGCTGAATAGGTAAGAGCACAGTCTAGCCCTCAGGAAAAGGTATCTTTCCCATGCAGAATGATGAAGGCACATGAATCCTACTGTTCATCTCCTTCCTTCATGGGGAAAAACAGAAAAATCTGCATAGCCCTCTACTTGCTCATAACTTTTGACCTCAGTGTTCAGCCTTGATCGCCATGAAACATTCCAAAGTTAAATAGAATTCAGCAGATTAGCTTTTTTTGACACAGAACTAATAGGACTAATCATGCCATGAGAGTGACTTAAAAATGGAATTTGTTTGAGAAAACTCAAAGTTAGTTTTGTCATATATAAGCACTAACACCACTTGGCACTTACATAGTGCTTTTTAATCCATTTAGACACACAAATACC